ACTCGACGATCTTGGGGGTCTTTTCCAGCCGAAATGATTCCGGGATTAAGGGGGGGCTTCCCAAGCACCTTCCAAAACACGGAGGATGGACTCAGTGATCTTGGGGGTCTTTTCCAGCCAAAATGATTCTTGGATTTGAGGGAGGGCTTTCTGAGCACCTCCCAAAATGCAGAGGTTGGACTCGATGATCTTGGGGGTCTTTTCCAGCTCAAATGATTCCGGGATTTGAGGGCGCTGGGGCTTTCCAAGCACCCCCTGCGGAACAGGGAGGGCAAACCCCTTCCTGACTTGGAACAACCTCGTGTCATCCAGCCGGGATAACGGACGGGAGAACGGTCTCCCCTTCCCCTCCCACGGCCGTTCCCGGGTAATGGTCTTTTCCAGCCGAAATGATTCCGGGATTTGAGGACGCTGGGGCATTCCAAGCACCCCCTGCGGAACGGGGAGGGCAAACCCCTTCCAGATTTGGAACAACCCTGTGTCATCCAACCGGGATAACGGGCGGGAGAACGCTCTCCCCTTCCCCTCCCACGACCGTTCCCGGGTAACGGCCTTTTCCATATTTCACCTCCCAGTTAAATCCCCCGTGCCGGAGCCTCGCCGGCCCCCTCATCCCAAACTCAACCCATTCCGAACCCGAGCGCTAATTTAATTAGGAAGCCCCCATTTTAAGTTAATTTGTTCGAGAAGAGATCGCCGCAAAACTCCCGGCGAGAACAGATGTTCCGCCTCTCCCCCGACGAACATTCCGGGCCGCGTAAATGGCTCCGCTCAGCCTTGTTTAGGAGAGAAAAGAGGATTTTATGGCTTCAAACGACCCTTTCTGTAAACATTTTACAGCTTCTCCGCGCGTCGGAGCGGCGATAAAACCCCGAGCAGCTCGGGCGGGGGCAAATTTGCCGCCAGACGGCCGCCGTTTGATTGTCGTATTTCACGGTCGTAACGTTAATGGAAGATGCTGCTCCAAGTCTTTTTTTAACGGCCCCGCCGAGCTCCGGCTTCCCGGGAATTCGGGGGAGGTGAGGAGGCCGCTCCCGGGTTTGTTTACGGCTTCGGCTTCCAGGGGAATCGCTATGGAAGTGAGGGGTTTGGAAGTGTGGGTTTGCTCCTGCTTTGGCATGGACGCCCCTCCCATTTGTGGTGGGTCTTGGCCCAACCATCCCCAGCTCTTGGAGTCAGGAATAGCCTCAGTTAGGGATGCACAAGGTTCATCCAAGTCCAACTCCTTATGGCTTTGGCTTCTGGAGGAATCACTTTGGAAATGGGGGTTTTCTCCTCCTTTTTTCCAGCCCCAACAGAGGGAACATGGTGGTGGTGAGTCATGATCCATCAGGAATCATGGAATATCCTGAGTTAGGGATGCACAAGGTCCTACTTATCCAAGCCCAACTCCTTATGGGTTTGGCTTCTGGAGGAATCACTTTGGAAATGTGGATTTGCTCCTCCTTTCTCCTGACCCCCCCCATTTGTGGTGAGTCTTGGTCCAACCATCCCCAGCTCCTGGAATCAGGAATAGCCTGAGTTAGGGTCGCACAAGGTTCATCCAAGTCCAGCTTCTCATTGGTTTGGCTTCTGGAGGAATCACTTTGGAAATGAGGATTTGCTCCTTGTTTCTCCTGCTCCCCCCCCATTTGTGGTGGGTCTTGGTCTGACCATCTCCAGCTCCTGGAATCAGGAATAGCCTCAGTTAGGGATGCACAAGGTTCATCCAAGTCCAACTTCTCATGGGTTTGGCTTCTGGAGGAATCACTTTAGAAGTGGGGGTTTGCTCCTCCTTTCGCCCTGACCCCAATGGGGGAACATGGTGGTGGTGGGTCATGATCCAACCATCCCCAGCTCCTGTAATCAGGAGCTTCCTGAGTTAGGGACACACAAAGTTCATCCAAGTCCGACGTCTTATGGGTTTTGCTTCTGGAGGAATCACTTTGAAAATGTGGGTTTGCTCCTCCTTTTTTCCAACACCAGTGGGGGTTGGTCATGATCCATCAGGAATCATGGAATATCCTGAGTTAATGACCCACAAGGACCATCCAAGTCCAGGTCCTTATGGCTTTGGCTTCAGGAGGAATCACTTTGGAAATGCAGATTTGCTCCTTCTTTCTCCTGACCCCCTCCATTTGTGGTGGGTCTTGGTCCAACCATCCCCAGCTCCTGGAATCAGGAGCATCCTGAGTTAGGGACACACAAAGTTCATCCAAGTCCAACTCCTTATGGCTTTGGCTTCTGGAGGAATCACTTTGGAAATGTGGGTTTTCTCCTCCTTTTTTCCAACCCCAGTGGGGGCAACTCGGTGGTGGTGGGTCATGATCCGTCAGGAATCATGGAATATCCTGAGTTGGGAACCCACAAGGTTCATCCAAGTCCAACTTCTCATGGGTTTGGCTTCTGGAGGAATCACTTTGGAAGTGGGGGTTTTCTCCTCCTTTTGCCCCAACCCCAGCAGGAGGAACACAGTGGTGGTGGGTCATGATCCGACCATTCCCGGCTCCTGGAATCAGGAGCATCCTGAGTTAGGGACTCACAAGGATTGTCCAATTCCAACTCCTTATGGCTTCGGCTTCTGGAGGATTCACTTTGGAAATGTGAATTTACTCCTCCTTTTTTTCCAGCCCCAGTGGGGGCGAGTCATGATCCAACCATCCCCTGCTGCTGGAATCAGGAATATCCTGAGTTAGGGACACACAAGGTTCCTTATGGCTTTGGCTTCTGGAGGAATCACTTTGGAAATGCGGATTTGCTCCTCCTTTCTCCTGACCCCCCCGATTTGTGTCACTTGGTGGCATCGGGAGAGCGACGGAGCCCGAACATCCCATCGGGAAGGGAAACCCACAGAAATTCCAAAGCTTTTTATAGCGGGATGGTGGAACTTGGAAAAGCCACATCCTGCCGCTTTGGGGCTTTGGGGCATCTCCAGCTACTTCCCACTTTCCCACCCTGTGGAGAAACCCACAGGAATTGAGCAGGGAGAGGATTTGGGGCCCGGCACGGACCCACCTCCTTTTCCCCTTCACCCTGAGGAGATTCCCTGCCTTGAGATCCCTTTAAATCCCTCTTGTACGGCAGCTGGAGGAAACAAATTGGGTTTTCCCTTCCCTGTGGGATGCAGCTGGAGCCTCTCGGCTCCGAAAACCAGGTTTTGATTGAAAAATCTAATGGGGCCACCTGAAGTGTGATTTACTGCCCCGTCCGCCCCTCGGACTGGATAATACATTCCGATTAGATTTCCTTGCTTTTCCCTCCTTTCTCCCGGAGAAGAGTGGCAAGTCCCCTCCGTCTGCCTGACACCTCCTTAGGCTCAGGCAAAATAAATGTTGATTTCCATCAGGGAAAAGGGGAGGGGGGTGGAAAAAAAAAGCGCTGGAAGTCCAAATTCTCCGGCCAAAAAGCCACCCGGTTTTCCGACGGAAAACTCGCGCTCCGACCGCGGTTGCTCTTCCTTCAGAAGTGGTTCAATCGTAGTAATGGGATAACAAAAAAATATAAAAAAGGGGGTTTCTCTTTTGCTAACCAGAAATGATGCACCTGGTTCCCGGGAGATGGATGGAGCCACTTCCCAAAGGCAGGGAAAAGCGGGAGAAGGGGGGGAAGAGAGGCCCAAGATTGATCACACCATTTGCAGGATCTCCCAAGCACAAAAGCGGAAAATGTCTTTTCCTTCGCCGGGGTTGGAAAAGCGACTCCCCCCCACTCACCATTTGCTCCGGGTTTCCCGCCCCTTGGAGGTGGTTTTCACCCATCCCACCGCTCCGGCTTTTCCAGGAGCGGCATCTCCCTCCATCCCAAGGACTTCAGTCCTTTCACACGACCTGTTTTGGGTTTGTTTCCTTATTCCCGCCTGGGTGTTTTGAGGGATGTGTTTGGAATGGGGCGCGGATGCTCCGACAGCATCCGGGTTCCGTGCCGGAGTTGGGAATTTAATTATGGTCAATTTAAAAATCCCCTCCCCAAAAAAGTAGGAATCTATATTTCTACTTCTTTAATCATTGAGGTGCCTCGTGGAGATCAGATAAGGATGTTTCTCCGGGTCATCCAAAGGGAATTGAGCCCTTCCCACCATTCCCACTGAACCAGGACCGCGGTTGCTGGTGGGGCAGAAACATGGACATCCTGATTTTGGCCTCTTGGGATGACCACCAGCAGCTCTGGACCCTAATTCCAGAAATCAGGATGGGAAATATTAATTAATGAAGTTTTTTCTGGCTCATCCAAAAGGAACTGAGCTCTTCCCACCATTCCCACTGAACTGATGTTGCATTTACTGGTGGGATAACATGGAAATGCTGGTTTTGACCCATTGAGGTCCAGCACCTCTGGAGTCTTATTCCAGCAACCAGGATGGGAGATATTAGTTAATGAAATTATTAATTAATGAAGATCTTCACTAAGGAAGTTTTCTCAGGCTCATCCAAAGGGAATTGAGCCCTTCCCACCATTCTCATTGAACTGACACCGCAGGAATATGGAGATGCTGATTGTGATCCCTTGAAGTGACAACCAGGAGCTCTGGACCCTAATTCCTGCAACCAGGATGGGAAATATTAATTAATGAAGTTTTTTCCAGCTTATCCAAAGGGAATTGAGCCCTTCCCACCATTCCCATTGAACTGACACTGGAGGAATATGGAGATGCTGGTTTTGACCCCTTGAGGTCCAGCAGCTCTGGACTTTAATTCCAGCAAACAGGATGTGAGATACTCCACAAGGACGTTTTTTCCAGCTCATCCAAAGGGAATTGAGCCCTTCCCACCATTCCCATTGAGGTGACACTGCAGGAATATGGAGATGTTGGTTTTGACCCCTCAGGGTGACAACCAGCAGCTCTGGACCCTAATTCCAGCAACCAGGATGGGAGAGATTCACTAAGGAAGTTTTCTCAGGCTCATCCAAAGGGAATCGAGCCCTTCCCACCATTCCCACTGAACCAGGTTGCCGGTGGAGCAGGAACACGGACACCCTGATTTTGACCCCTCGGGGTGATGACGAGCAGCCCTACTGGACCTTAATTCCAGCAACCGGGGCGGGATTTGGAAATCCCAGTCCGGAAAAACCCACCTGGTCAGCTGGAAAAGGAGGAGGGTGTCGCCGTTCCCGGGATCCGGATTCCGCTCCGTTGCCGGTGACTAATCCCACGGCCGCCCCTGATGTATGGATGTTGTGTGAAGGGTGGGAAGGCGCTCAATGAGCCCTCCTTGTTTTCCATAAATTAGCTCCGGAGCGACATGTCGCTGCCGACGCCGCTCCCGCTCGGAGCCGGTTTGTTCATCCAGGTTGAAAAGCCAAGGAAAACTCTCGGAGATTCCCCCGTTGTCGGGCATTGCTTGGGGTTCTCCCCCCCTCTCCTGCCTCCCTTGCCCCCCCAAATCCTTCCTTTCTGGGCTTCTCCGAGGTCCCCGTGGTCCCACCTCCACGTTGGGAATCGGGTTGTGGAATTTTGTGGGAATGCTCCCAAGTTGTGTGTGCTGCTGCCCCAGAACACCTGGAGGGGTTTTGGGCTGGATTCCCTCTGTCTTCTCCATCACCTTCTCCATCACCTTCCCCCCTCCTCTAATCCCAGGTGAGAAGGGGGAATTTTCCCACTAGACCTCCAACAAGCTGCGGGCCCGTTTTTTTCTGGGAAACCTCCTGTTTCTCCAATCTTTCCATCCATCCCGAGGGGCCACCGCTCTCCTTCCCACCCTTCGCTTCCCCCACAGAACCACCTTTCCAAACCCTTTGGAGAGGGGAAAACAGGAGAACCTGCACAAAGGTTGGGTTGAAACGGGGGAAGGACTTCCCACCTCGATCCATGGGATGTTCCTGGGCTTGTCCTCTCCAAGGAGGTCACCTCCCAAAGGCTTTCCATGAGCATCCAGGCCCCTCTTTGGAGGAAGCAGAAGCCATCACCTGGGAATTCCTGGGGGGTGGAGCAGGAGTTAACCCCTTGCTTCCCAGTGCTCTGCTCCTCCTGGCTCCATCCCAGCCCCAACACGGATCCTGGTGTTCACCTTGCGCTCCAGTGGGAAGGTTTGGATCCTTTTTAATTCTCTTTTCCACCCATAACTTGGGAATTTTTGCAGCAGATTGATGGGAAGGGACCTCCAAGTGCCCTGAGGATGCTCAGGGATTTCGGGAATGAGCCATCCTGGATGTGGCCAAGGGGGACGTGGAGTAGAAGAGGAGCTCAGGACGCTCCCACTCCTTCATTCCAAGGGATTTCCAAGTTGACCTGAGCCAACCTCCAGGACTTTCTCCTCTTTTCTCCCTTTCCCCTCCCAGGCACCACCAAAAGGAAGAGGATTTTGCCACGGGAATCCTCGGAGGACTCAGAGGACACCCGCGTGGAAGGTGCCAGAGGTGAGGCCGGTGGGCGCTACCGGGGCAGAAAACCACCCACATTCCCAGTTTTTCCGGTGCTTTAACCCCTCATGACCAGGCAAGGAGAAGCCTGGGAGCATCCAGGTGTGTCCCTCACTTCCCACCATCCCCTTTCCCTGCTCTTCTTCCAGGCAAACGGCTGCAGATCAAGCCCCGGCTGTGAGGAATTCCCGATTTCCCGATCCCGGGATCAGCCGACCCGCTCAGGAACTGGAGAGCCGGGCACGACCTGGCACCTACCTCAGGACGCCGTGTCCAGACATGGCACCACCCCCTTCTCCTCTCGCTTTTCCGGGACACCATTCGGACAAGGAGCAGCGTGGGAATACGCCTCTCATTCCCGCCGGGAATTCCCACAGGAAGCGGCTTTGTTTGGAATCTTTGAGTTGACCAATAAACGACCTTTCTCCGTTGGTTTGACAGAGGCAAGTCCTGCCCAAGTGGAAGCTCCTTGGGTGTTTGTGGGATTGGGAAGAGCTTCCCATTCCCGTGGGTGCTGTCCCGGACACGAGGTGATCCAGGGACCTGAGGTGACATTCCCAAATCCAGGGCCGGGATGTAAAGGGATGTAAAGCCCCCACAGCCCTGATCCCTCCATCCCACTCCATTCCCTTGCTTTTGGGAGGGGATTTCTTGGAGCAGAACCGTGTGCCGAGAGAAATCCTAACGGGAATGTGTGTTGGGAGCGGTGCTGAGCTCTCACCCTGAAGTTTTGGGATCTAGTTGCTCCTAATTCCCACCTCTCCTCATCCAAGTGGGACACCCAAACCGACTCTTCCAGAGGTTTTTTTTGCCGGATCAAAGCACGGAGAGGGCGTTATGTCACCAGCACCATGAGGTTTTGCATCCATAGGCACCACTTCCCAGGGATTTTGGGGAACCCCCTGCCGATAAGATTTGGGGGACACCTCCGAAGCATGGGGGGAAAGCAGGATTTGCCCATCCAAACGCCCCTCAGGTGAAATCCTGCGGGAAAAAAAAGGCTCAGCAGGGATGTGGGGAAGCGCTGGGGCTCCCCAAGGATGTTTCCCGGGAATGGGATGGGCTCAGGTGCTCCGTGGCTCCGGGAAGATGCTGACGGCATCCAAACACCTCCCCGGGGGGTTTCCCTTCCCTGAGAGACCCCCACGGCGGGAAGGGGGGTTGTCACCATCCCAAATCCAGAGCATTTCCCCCTAGGGATGGATGGATCCCACTCTGGGATGTCCCTTGTATCCCAAGAGCTGTTTTGTAACAAAAGCTCCGTCGTCTCCGTCGCCGTGAAATGTCTTTTATTTTAATTCCTGTGGTTTGGTTTGTAAATAAAAGACTTTCCTCCCCCAGGGGACAGGAGTGTGGCTTTCCTCTCTCTTTCCAGCGGGAACATCCCATCAAAAATCCAGCGGGATCCAAGGGAGGAGCTGCTCCAACCCTTGAATCTTTATTTATTATTTTTTATTTTTAAATTATTTTTATTATTTATTTTATTATTATCTATTTATCTTATTATTTGTTGTTTATTATTTTTATTATTTATTTTATTATTATATATTTCATTATTTATTGTTATTATTTATTTTATTATTATCTATTTTTTATTATTTTTATTACTTATTTTATTATATATTTATTTTATTATTTATTATTTATTTCTTTTTATTATTATTCCGACTTTTTTCCACCCAGAAACGACATTTCTTCACCTAAAAAAAACAACCTGTCTAAATTCCCTTAAAAACCACCCCCGAGGAGAAGGAGCTGCGAATCCTCCGGGATGGCCTCGTGTGGAGCTTTGGGGCTTTCCCATATCCATGGATCCCTAACGAGGATTAAGCCTCGTGCAGCGCTAATTAAATGAGGCAACGAGAGGCTTCTCCGCTCGGAGCCGCCGCTCCCATCCTGGGAAGGCTTGGAATTTGCTGCTGGCTGTCGTTAAGGCTCCGCTTGGGGGGTGATTGATTCCCAAGCTCGGGATCAGCTCAGCCCCTGGAGAGGCGTCTCCGAGCCCCAGTGGCTTCTCCTGAGTCTCCGACGGCCGTGATGCCTCTGGCACGAGCTCCCGGGGGGTTTATCCGTCCTTCCTTGGGAAGATGGGAACGATGGGCACCCGGCAGGGACGTTCCCTGGAGGTGCCGTGGATGGAGTTTCTAGAAGGCTCCATAAACATTTCCTGGAAAACCCTCCTGCGGCGGGCGCTGCTGGCACCGCTCTTGGGCCCCTGCCGGGGAAGCAGGTGCCGGGTGGGCACCCGCCGGATCGGGTTCCTGCCTGGCATCAGGGGGGCTGTTCCCTGCCCTCCTCCTCCTCCTTCTTCTTGTCCTCCTTCTCCTCCTTCTCCCATTCTCGCTGTGTGATTCCCCCCTTTCCCAAAATTCCTGTCCTTTCTCCATGTCCAGCTGCAGATGCTGGTGGAGCATCACCAGGACGATCCCACCAGCTCATGGGGTTCATCCTGATGGCCCTGTCCATGGGGTGAGGGGTTCCCTGCCCTCCTCCTCCTTCTTCTCTTCCTCCTCCTCCCATCCTCACTGTGTGATTCCCCCCTTTCCCAAAATTCCTGACCCTTCTCCATGTCCAGCTGCAGATGCTGGTGGAGCATCAAGATGATCCCACCAGCTCATGGGGTTCATCCTGATGGACACCACCCTCTCCACGGGGTCAGGGGTTCCCTGCCTTCCTCCTCCTCCTCCTCCTTGTCGTCTTCCTTCTCCTCCCACCCTCACTGTGTGATTTCCCCCCTTCCCAAAATTCCTGACCCTTCTCCATGTCCAGCTGCAGATACTGGTGGAGCATCACCAGGACAGTCCCACCAGTTCATGGGGTTCATCCTGATGGGACACTGCCCTGTCCATGGGATGAGAGGTTCCCTGCCTTCCTCCTCCTCCTCCCACCCTCACTGTTTCATTCCCTCCCTTCCCAAAATTCCTGACCCTTCTCCGTGTCCAGCTGCAGATGCTGGTGGAGCATCACCAGGATGGTCCCACTGGCTCATGGGGTTCATCCTGATGGACACCGCCCTCTCCATGGGGTGAGGGGTTCCCTGCCCTCCTCCTTGTCCTCCTCCTTTTCCTCCTCCTCCCATCCTCACTGTGTGATTCACCCCTTTCCCAAAATTCCTGACCCTTCTCCGTGTCCAGCCGCAGATGCTGGTGGAGCATCAAGATGATCCCACCAGCTCATGGGGTTCATCCTGATGGGACACCACCCTCTCCATGGGGTGATGTCCCAGTGAGGGGTCCCCAAGCCACCAGCCCCTGGTCTGGATCCTGTTGGAATATCCCGGGAAGCCGGGGCAGGCCCCACTGGAAGGGTTAACGGGGCACACGAGCTCCATAAGCGGAGGGTGACGTGATCCCAAGGCCATCCCCGAGGCCACCAACCTGGTTATGTCACTTGACCCCCTGTGAGTAAACTTAGCTGACGGCTCTGGCGTGTCCAGGAGGGTTGGGGACATGCCACGGGCATTTCCTAAAAATACCCACGGAGCAGCGACGGCCCCGTTGGATCCCATCCCGTCCCTAATCCCTCCGTGGCTCCCAGCCCGTGGCGGGTGGCAGCTGCTGGGGGGGGCCAAGATGGGAGTAGCTCCGGGCAGGAACGTGGTGCCAGGGGTAGGGAGGGGGCACCCCGTCTTTTCCCAGGGCAGGATCCCGAAATCCTGACTGAGGACGTGACTGAGGATGGATTTAGGGTGGCACAATTAAAGCAAAAAGGGTTAAAATCACTGAGCAAAAAGGGGAATTTTTTGTTGCAAAATCATCAAGATGCCCTTTTTGTCCCTTATTTTGTCCCCTCTCTCGAGCTGAAGGGGGGGGTCGTTATCCCAAGCCCACGTTTGGGGTTTCCAATGTGGGATATCTGTGTCCCTGGTTATCCAATATGGGATAACATCCAGCACCACCAGGATCTCGGCTGGGCCTTTGCCTGGGACTGTGACCCTTCCCAGGGGGGACAAATCCCCCCCACCTGCCCCAACAAAATTAGGAGGAGAAAGATGAACCCTCTAGGGGCTGGAATGATGTGTGATTTTAATTGCTGGGATGCAGCAGGACAAGGGGTTTCATCCAAAAAAACCCTCATTTTTTGCACTAATTTGGCCCAAATAATCCCTCCTTTTGAAGGGTCAGTGGAGGGCAGTGTCCCTTGTCCCCAAGTCCCCAAGCAGGGATGTCCATGGATTCACCTCTCCCATCCCAAGGACCTGCCTGTGGAATGCAGTGGGGTGGGATGCAGCTGGGCTGGGATATAGTGGGATCTGGGATTCAATCCTGGACCCCGAGGGGGGTATGTGGGTGGGTGTTGATGCCTCTGTGGGATGCAGCCGCTCATCCCTTGGGATCGGGTGGGACAACTCCAGGGCTACTCCCCCCGTGCCTCAGTTTCCCTGCAAATCCCTCCCGTCCTGCGGCGGCCACGTGGTGCCAGCAGGAACAGCGAGGCCACATCCCCTCCAGGGACTCATCCAGAACCCCCCAAAACCTCCCGACCAGCTTCCCCTCGGCGCCGGGGACACCTTTTCCAGGTGCTGGGATGGTGATCCCGCTCCTTGAGCTGGTGACACTCCCGGCCATGCTCCACGTGCGGGTGTCACCTGCGGTGACACAAAGCCGGAGCGGAGCGCGGGGAGCCGGCTCCGGTGCTCGTGGCCGCTCCCTGCCCACCAACGTCTTCTGGGAACACCCCTAAAAATTCCAGAAATACCTATATTCGGTGTAGGGGAAGGACGTTGCGCCGCTCCCGAGGCGGGGAAGGGGCCGCGTCCAGCGGGGTGGAATCAAACCCAATTCGGGCTCCATAACCCGCCTTTTTGGGTCTTTCCTATTTTCGGGGGAGGGGAGAAAAACGTGATTTTTTTTCTCTTTTTCCCCTCTCCGAGCTGTCACTGGGAGGTGACGGTGCCCGGAGGGGGTCCAGGGGGTGCGCCCCCAAAAAACCCCTTGGACTGACAGCTGCCCCGGGGGCGTTGCCATGGGGATATGCAAATCCCGGCGTGCTGATAAGGCGGGATGGATTATCCCCTCCCCTGTAGGAGTGTCCGCGTCTCCTCCTTTTCCCGTATAAAAGGCGGCGGGTTCCATTGAGCGCCCGGCGGCGGCGGCGGCGGCGCCGGTCGCGGGCAGGGGCGGGCAGGGAGCGGCCCCCGCCCCGCAGCGCGCCGGGTCCCGGCGGGACGAGGAGGAGGCAGGAGAAGGCTCAGGCTCGCAGCCCGGGGAGGTGGGGCCGGGGCAGGTGCCAGGGGGAGGCAGGAAGGGGCGGGCAGGGCGCTGCCCGCTCCTCGCCATTGGGAAGCGGCCGCAGGCAGCGCCGGAGCCCGCCCGGCCCCGAGCGCCGAGCGGCGGCCGGAGAAGGCTCCCGGAGTCCGGCGCCGAGCCCCGACGGACGGAGGGGGCTACCCGGGAGCCCCAGCGGAGGGTCCCGGAGCCAGGCTTAGTCCCGCTGAAACTCAGCGCGAAAATCCCGTCGGAGGCGAGCACCGGAGCCCGGCAGAAGGTCCGTGAGCCCGGCTTAACCCGCGGCGCAGCCCTGTCGGAGGGTCCCCGAGCCCGGCTGAACACGCAGCACAGTCCTGTCAGAAGGTCCCGCGGCACAGCCCTGTCGGAGGGTCCCCAAGCCCGGCTTAACCCGCAGCGCAGCCCTGTCGGAGGGTCCCGGAGCGCGGCAGCGGAGCCCCGTCGCAGGGTCGCGGAGCGCGGCTGAATCCCGCCGCGGAGCCCGGCTGAATCCCACTGTAAAGCCCCGGCGGAGGGTCCCGAATCCCGCTAAGCCCCACCGGAAAGCTCCGTCAGAAGGTCCCAGAGCCCGGCTGAGACCGCAGCGGAGCCCCGGCGGAGGGTCCCGGAGCCCGGCAGCAGATCCGCGTCCGAGCATCCCGGAGCCCCGGTAAACCGCGCAGCAAAGCCCCATCGGAGGGTCCCGGAGCCCCGCTGAACCCGCAGCAAAGCCCCGGCGGAGGGTCCCGCAGCCCCCCCGGGAGCGGGGCAGCCCCGGAGCGCGCTCGGAGGAGGCTCCCGGAGCCCCGTCGGCGAGCGGCGGTGCCCGGGGGCTCCCCCCCCGGTGCCCTCCATGGACTGAGATGGCCTCGGAGCTGGCCATGAGCGCGGAGCTGCCCACGAGCCCCCTGGCCATCGAGTACGTGAACGACTTCGACCTGATGAAGTTCGAGGTGAAGAAGGAGCCGGCGGAGGCGGAGCGGCTGTGCCACCGCCTGCCCGCCGGCTCCCTGTCGTCCACGCCGCTCAGCACGCCCTGCTCCTCCGTGCCTTCCTCGCCCAGCTTCTGCGCCCCCAGCCCCGGCGGGCAACCGGCCCCCGGCCCCCCGGCCGCCACCGCCGCCGCTTCGCTGGGCTCCAAGCAGCAGCTGGAGGAGCTGTACTGGATGTCGGGTTACCAGCACCACCTGAACCCCGAAGCGCTCAACCTGACGCCGGAGGACGCGGTGGAGGCGCTGATCGGCGCCCCGCACCATCACCACCATCACCACCAGGGCTACGAGCCCTTCCGGCCTCAGCCCTTCGCGGGCGAGGAGATGCCACCGGCCGCCCACCACCACCCCGGCCACCACCACCATCACCACCACCACCTCCGCCTGGAGGACCGCTTCTCCGACGACCAGCTGGTGAGTATGTCGGTGCGGGAGCTCAACCGGCAGCTGCGGGGCTTCAGCAAGGAGGAGGTGATCCGCCTCAAGCAGAAGAGGAGGACCTTGAAGAACCGCGGCTACGCTCAGTCCTGCCGCTACAAGCGGGTCCAGCAGCGGCACATCCTGGAGAACGAGAAATGCCAGCTGCAGAGCCAGGTGGAGCAGCTCAAGCAGGAGGTGACCCGCCTGGCCAAGGAGAGGGATCTGTACAAAGAGAAATACGAGAAGTTGGCCGGCCGGGGCTTCCCGAGGGAACCCTCCCCGTCCTCCGCCGCCCCCAAAGCCGCCGCTGACTTCTTCATGTGAGGCTGGTGGGATGTGGCGGGATGGGGTGGTGGGATCGCTCCCCCTCCCCCCCTTTTTTTTTTTGTTGTTGTTGTTGGTTTGTCGTCGCTGTTGTTCCTCATGCGGGGAGAGCAAAAAAACCCGCCGCTTGTCTTTAAAGAAAAAATTATTATTAATAATAATAATAATATTAATAATATGAGGACGTCCCTCCCCCCTCCGGGAAATTTTGGGGAGGGGAAGTCGAACTCGCCCCCCACGCACCCACCCGCCCATGGGGACTCGGGGTGGGGGGTCCCGGGGTGGGTGAGTGGGGGGCGGACCTGGAGCCAGCCTTGCATGCGGGACGTGTACGGCCACCCCCCCCCCCCTTTTTCCCGGGAGCATCAGCGCCTTCCAGGTGGATTCTCCTTCTCCCCCCACCCCCAATCCCACACACCTTTTCCTGCGTGTTTTCCCCTCAATTTGATTTTTATTCTTCCAGGGGTCCCCACGGATCGGGCCGGGGGGGGGTCCCCGGCAGCGCTGCGCCCTGTCCGGCCCCTCCGCCTCCCCCCTCTTCCCTCCCTAATTCCCGGCCGGCGAAACTGAGCCACGTTTAACTTATTCACCCTTGTAAATATGTAGAATATTAGTTAGTTTTTTGCCTTTTTTTTTTTTTGAGCCTATATTTTGCTTGGTGATTTACGAGAAAAAAAAAACTTTAAAAAAACCAAAAAAAAAGACAAAAAATCCCAAAATCCTTTAGAAAATAGACAAAAAAAAATTACACGAGTCTTAAAAGTTTGTATGTAATAGCATGCAAATAATATCCGAGTTAATTTAATGATGTTGGGAAGAAGCCGAATGCACTATATACAGGAATCGATTGGGTTAAATAATACTGTTTTATAGAGATTTAAAATTATCTATGCTCTTAAAAAATAGTGGGGAGGGGAGGGGAGGGAGGGAGGGAAGGGAGAGGCAACAATTTTCGGGTGACCTGAAAGGCAATATAGTAATATATGGACTGCGAACGGTTGGCTGCTATCTCACTATGCACCAGATTTATTTATTAACCCTCGGGAGAAACGGGATTTTATTTTAACCTCGATGTTCGGTGGAGAGAAAAAGAAAAAGACGGAAAGAAAATGCACATTATTTGTTGCGTGAAAAAGGAAAAAGAGGATTAAGAATTCGTGCAATCGTCGGAGCGAAAGCGGGACCGAGCCCGCGCCGAGGAGAGCGGGGTGGGTTTTGTTTTTTTATTTGATTTTATTTTAAACGAGTCACTTCTTTTAAAAAAGAGGAGAAAAAAAAACGCGTTAAAAAAACCCCAACCCTTAATTTCGGGGTGGGGAGGGGGGGGGAAGAACAAAAAGGGGGTCCTGCGGACACACGGCGAGCTTTTTGGGGAGCCCTGGTGCATTTTAGGGACTGATCGTGCGAAGCGTTTTTACCGACCTGTTGTTTCGATTTGTGACGGTTTTAACGATGTTGCATCAAAGATAAAAAAAAAACTTATATTCAACTAGAGCCTGGGTCGGGTTTTCTCTCCAACTCGCGGGGGGGGAGGGATGTTTGAGGGGGTCGTTTATTCCTCTCTTTAAATCCCGGGGTGGATGCCAAACCCTCCCCGGGGATAAATCCCGTTGAACTCCGGCTTTTCGCTTTTCCTGCCTTTTTTGAAAAAAAGTCTTTTCCAGGGTGGTTTTGGGGTTTATTTCTCGACTGAAAGGTCCCGGAGATCTTTATCCCTGCGGAAAAAGTCGCCGGATCCAGTGTGTGATCCCAGCTTGTCCCCGACTGGGTTTGAAGCGGCAATAAATGATTTTTTTTTCCTTCCCTCTTTTGGCTTTTCCCTCTCGAGTTTTTAATTCAAAGGAGGATTAAAAAAAAACCCCAAACAACTCCTTAACAAACCATCACACGCCTCCCCTAAAGAAAATCTTTCGTGCTGGTATTTTTAGGGATATTTGGGGGTTTAGGGGATTTTTTGGGGACTGTTTGAAGGACGTTTTTCCCGCAAATCCCGAGCGCGGCCGCTCTGCTCGCGGCTTTTTCCCGGCTCGGCGGGAAAAATTCCGACGCGACCCTTGGTCCGGCGTATTTTTGGAGCGTTTTATATGAATTTTTTTTAATCTATCTCTGGTTTTCCTCCTGTGTTTTCGCCCAGGTTCAGCCTCGGCGGGTCCTCAGTCGGGAACTGCTCCGACTCCGTGGCTGCGGCGTTTCCTCCTGCCGCCCTCCATCCAACTCCCGGGCTTTTCCCAGGATTTTTGGGGTGCCTGTGACCCCACAACCCCCCGATCCTGCCTTTCCTGCGCCCCCCCAGACCTCACCCCTCCTTTTCTTCCTCATTTTCTGGCTGTTTGGTGTCTTGTTTTCAGGGTGTTGGAGCAGCCAGAGCTCGGCTCGATGTCGGACCGGGATTTTGGGATGGGAGCTGGGAAGCAGAGGGATCACTTCCCTCTCTTTGCCCAGCCCTGGGGCGCTTGGGGAGGGGGGATTCACCCCGTTTTCCTGGTTTTATTGAGATCCTGGGAAGCTTTGGAAATCTGGGTCTAAATAAATAGAACCTGTCCTGCTGCCCCTGCAGCCGCTGGCAGGACTTCGCCTCCTCTCCTGGAATTTTTTTGGGATGAAGCGCATTTTCCTGGTGGGTTATTCCCCAACTTTTCCTCCTGATATTCCTTTTTCGTGGCGCTTTTTGATTTGGGAAAACCCACCCAGCTGCTCCACGATTAAATAAGAAGAGTGTGGGAAGGAAGAAGGTGTTTGGGGCGGCTGCCTTTCCCAAACCATCCCGGGGACTTTCCATCCCCGCATCCATTTCCTCATCCCTGGATCTAGCTCTGCGCTCCCTGTGGGGTCACTGCCCCTTTTCCCACCTGCAACGGGGCCGGTTCTGGAAGCAGAGCTGACTTTGGGGGGGCTCTGTGGGGTTTTGGGGGGACATTCCCCGTGGGATCTCACCCCAGGATCCTGCCATCGCCTCCTTCCCGGAAATCCTTTTCCCACCGCCTTGGCAGAGCAAAGGCAGAGATTTAAGGCTGAGAATTCCCAATTTTCCTCCTTAATGCCTTGATGCCCATCACCTTTTCCTCCCCCCCCCCCTTTCTGATTTAGATATTCCATTTTTTGGGGGGGGCACCAAGCCGGGGTCTCGCCCCGGAGCAGATTATTTTGGTGATCCTGGAATTGCCCCTTTTCCTTCATTCCCTAAGGGACGCAGGGATGTGATTCCCAACCCCTTGCACCACTTGGATTTATTTTTTGTGCTTTCCAGCACCTCCTGGAAATCCCCTGAGCAGGGGAAAAGCTGGATTAGGACACTGGGGGGTTGTTGCCCCCATTCCAAGGCACTTTTCTGGGGAGATTTGGGGCTGGAATTTCACCTTCCTGCTCCATCCCAGTGTTGGGGTGCAGCGACCCCCATCCCCCTGATTCACTCCAGGCTTCCTGGAATTGGGATACACCGAATAAACAATAAAAATCGTTTTAAGCCCAAATTTGGCTGGTTTATGACTCGTCTCCGTGTTGGGGCTCCGAAGCCCCCCCCGCTCCAGATTTTTGGGGGGTGCCTGGGTGATCCCTGCTTGGAATTCCAACGTTTTTTGGGGGCTGCTGCACCATGCTGACCCTTGCAGGGCTGTGTGCGTGTATTCCACGCGTGCTGGGCCGTGTTTTTTTGGGATGGGGATGTTCTGGGATGGGCTGGTGTGTCCCCGGTGCCGCAGGGCTGCGGATATTCTGGTGGCGCAGGAGGACGTGTGGCATTTTTGGGTCACTCCGACCTCCTTTTTTAAGGCTTTTCTCGTATTTTTCCTGATCCCCTGAGAAAGAGTGGAGCCCCCTTTCCCATCTCCTCGCTGCTTTTTTTTTGGGATCTGCACGAGGTTGCAGGAGGACCCCACACTCCTCCTCCCGTGAGGATCTGCAGCCCCTCCGCTCATCCCGGGCATCTTCTGCATCCCAACTCCAGCCTTTTCCAAGGGGGAAAACAGCTTTCCAACCCCATGGGATGCTCCAAGGGGTGCCTGGCACCTGGGATAGGGGTGTGGGGACAATCCCTGGGGGTCCCCTCCACACCTCCAGAGCTTTTTAAACCCAATTCCAAGATTTCCTTGCCCTCCAAAGGCACCACCAGGCTGGGAAACAGCTGGAATTCCTCCAGCCATCCCTGCCGGTGGGTTTTCCACTGGGAAAAGGGGTGATTTTTGGGGAATGCTCACCCCCAAACACTTCAGCACCTTGGAATACTTTATCCAAGCTCATATGGATGCTTGGGATTTGTTATAACCCCTGGAAAAGCCCCCCTTCCCCGTGATCCAGGGCCAGGCGCTCTGTGCCACTTCCAAGCAGGAATTTCTCCGGATCGCTGCAAACAGGAGGAAAACCACGAGGAGCAGATGGAAGCAGCACCTCCAAAGTGTCCCTCACTCCTTCCTCCTCAGTTATGGATGCTCTCACTCCCAGGTTTGTTCCCAAACTGCTGCTCCATGTTCCAAATCCCGACATCTCCGCCGTGTTCCACGCGAATCCCGACATCTCCATAATGTGGGAATTCCAGCCCTGGGCTGTTAAATCCCAGTGGGCTGCTGGGAATGGAGGGATTTGGGGTGCTACTCACTCAAAAAGCAGGAATCAATAAAAATCCCAGCAAAAGAAATCCCCCAAAAATGAGAATCCTGGCCCAGGCACGGTTTGGAGCTGGGAATTTTCGGCTGGAGCCGATCTTTATGATCCTTGATTTTTCCACGTTCCCTGCTTTCCAAGGAAGCCAAACACTTCCCTGCCCCTCAGATAGAAATATAAATATATTATAAATACCTTTGTGACCTTAGGAAAACTCAGCTCTGCCCTGGGATTGAGGTTTTGGCACTTCCCTGCCTCATCCCTAAGGCTGGAATCCATGGAATTTATTCCAGCCCTCTGCCAGCACATCCCGAAACTCTCGGTGGGAGGTGAGGCCATTCCCAAAAAACAGGATATGGGAACCCCCCCCACCCTACATGACATGAACAGGATCATGGTTGGGGTTGGATCCCAAATTCCTTGGGTTTGGGTGGGTTTGGAAGCAGCCTGGGAATGCTGCTGCGGGAAGTGGGATGCAGGGAATGGCTTTGGGATGCAGGAGGTGTGATGCAGGGATACAGGACGCTGGATGTGGGATGCAGGTAGTGGGATTCAGGGTATGGAATATGGAATGCGGGAGGTGGGATGGAGCAGGTGGGATGCAGGATGTGGAATGCAGGATATGGGAATCGGGATGTGGGATGTGAGATGCAAGGATACAGGACACTGGATATGGGATGCAGGTAGTGGGATTCAGGATATGGGATGCAGGAGGTGGGATGGAGCAGGTGGGATGCAGGATGTGGAATGCAGGATATGGAATACAGGATGTGGAATGCAGGGATACAGGATGTGGAATGCAGGTAGTGGGATTCAGGGTATGGAATATGGAATGCAGGAGGTGGGATACAGGATGCAGGAGGTGGGATGGAGCAGGTGGGATAGAGGATATGAAATGCAGGATATGGGATGCAGGAGGTGGGATGTGAGACGCAAGGATACAGGACATTGGATGTGGAATGCAGGAGGTGGGATTCGGGATAGGGGATGCAGGAGGTGGGATATGGAATGCAGGAGATGGGATGGAGCAGGTGGGAAGCAGGATGTGGGATGCAGGGATACAGGGCATCGGATTTGGGATGCAGGTAGTGGGATTCAGAATGTGGGATGTAGGATGTGGGATGCAGGATGCAAAGATACAGGACATTGGCTGTGGGATGCAGGTAGTGGGATTCAGGATATGGGATATGGGATGCAGGAGGTGGGATGGAGCAGGTGGGATGCAGGATATGGGATGCAGGATATGGGATTCAGGATGTGGGATGTGAGATACAGGGATACAGGACATTGGCTGTGGGATGCAGGTAGTGGGATTCAGGATATGGAATACAGGATGTGGGATGTGGGATGCAGGGATACAGGACATTGGATGTGGGATGCAGGTAGTGGGATGCAGGACATGGGATATGGGATACAGGATGCAGGAGGTGGGATGGAGCAGGAGGGATGCAGGATATGGGATGCAGGATGTGGGATGTGGGATGTAGGGATATAGGGCATTGGATGTGGGATGAAGTTAGTGGGATTCGGGATACCGTATATGGGA